CTCATTCTGTAACATGTTGGTTCAATAATTTGCTTTGGTCATCATGGAAACCAAGTTTGACTGTCGTATCATATATAAAGGTTAACCCATTGCCTGTTTCTTTTAATGTTTTACTTGAATTTTAAAAATGCAATTGACCCGTGAACTTACCTTTAACAGGTAAGAACTTAAAAGGTGTTGTTTTTGTTTTTTTGTTTTTTTTGTTAGAATCGAATAATTTCTATAACTGTTTACTTGTTATTCATTATGTATTTCTTTTATATTATACTTTATTTCTAGTTTAACAAAGAAAATCTTATAATATTGTTTATTTGTTAGTTTTACATAATTATACTGTATCTTGTTCTTTTCTCTTATTCATGAATTATATACATTTGTGCTTACAAGCAAGTGAAGGGTATATCCCTGATGGAAATTTCTCTTAGCCAAATCAATGTGATTCATACAAAATCTTATTAAAATAGAATGAAGTGGGAAATAACTTCTGTTGCCAAATTATAATTTCTGTAGCCAAGTGAATAAATTTCAGCAAATAGCTTTTGGCACTGGCAGAGTGAGCCCTGAAGTTTAAAGGAACTCCACTGAGGTTCAAAAGCCTAAAAACATAAAATCTCTAATCCTTGGACACTTAAAACAAACAGATATGCAAAAGATGGTTAAATAATGTACTCAGAAATGCTTTAAAAGTTGTATCTTTGTGCTATTCTTAGTCTGATTTTAGTGAAAAACTTTTGAAACAATTTTTAATTTTTGATAATTTTTCACAATAATTTTATAAGATTAATTATTACAAGTATGACATAAATTAGATATGAAATAGTCAACATGTACTATAAATTGACCTAAAGTCACATTAGATAAAAAAAGTAATTAAAAAGTCTGTCATGTTATAATAATATAATGCCTGAAGCTGATTTTATCTTTAAAATAAGACCTATACTGTGTCGATGTTAAAACCCAAACAAACAATCTTTAAAATAATATCTTGTTTCAGTAGAATCATATATAATGTAAATAATAAATCTGTGTTTTCACTTGCTTTCAAGTTACTAGTTCAGCTATGAAATAAATTTGATTTGAAGTATACCACCTCTGTGGTCGAGGGGTTAGAGTCGATGACTTCTAATCGAGTTACCTCTCTGGCATGGGTTCGATCCCCGGGAGATGCTTTGGTAGTTTAGCGCGGAGGAAGGTAGTCTAGTACTGGTGTAACTCTCCAGGAACGATGGTTAGGAAACTACCAGCCTATGTGACTGAAATACTGTTGGGAAAAGGCGTAAAATGAAACAAACAAACAAAGATATGAAATAGGTTAACATGATTGTATTTATTATTTTATTTACCATTGGGGCATCCATGGTCTAGTGGTTTTTCGTTGTTCCCCTTACCGCTGTTGGTTTGAATCCCACCAGGGACTTTGGGTTCATTCATGTGGGGAAGCTATCCAGCTTGCTTACAGAACGTCAATTGTTCTAAGGTGCCTCTTAGTGTTTGAAATAATGCACATACTGGCACATGAGGTTTTCCTCCACCAGTTAAAGCTGGGAAGTCACCATATGACCTCAACAGTGTTGGTATGACATGCCCCCTTCTCAACCCCCCCCCCCCCCCCAAAAAAAGAAAAAAAGAAAAAGAAATTGTCTTATACAAATGTCTTGGTACCAAGTCCTAACATCAGTCTAGTCATACTGGTACCATGCTTTCTGACATTAAGTCATTTTTTTTTTAATTTTGAGAAAATTGTATAAAATTTAAAAAAAAAATAAGCATATGATGGCGTGACTTTAAGGAGACACTTTTTCTTGCAGATAATTTTCCCAGCATGCAAATGGTTAAACTTTGGTTTAGTTGTATGTGATAAGATTAGCATATCTGTACTTTGGCGGGTAATTTCTTTGATATGATATCTCATATCATGTGTACTATTTTGATAAATGATACAGTTGGTGCAAAAAATTATTGGACTTTGCAGTCTCGGTTTGTTAAATTGCCAGCATGGAGATAGGTGGATAAAATTTAAATGTTGTATATTTTGTGTGAAAAGTAGGTTGCTTATTATTTATTTAAGGAATGGATATTAATTTTGAGTATTAAGATATGCAGTAATATGAAGCCAGTTGGTTAGGCATCATGGTGAATGTATTCAAAACCAGTCTCAGCTGTCATGGCTTATAATAAAAGTTATTGAAATATTGTTTTTAGTCACAGCCTAATGTATATTATATGATTTATAGGTTTTGAGTGTGTAAGTTAACACTGTAATGTCATGAAGTGATTTTTCAGCTTTACAAGTGGAAAAGACCTGAGTTACTTCCTACAAGGAAGTTTAAGGAGTATTTGAGCTAAGTGAGTTTGGAGTTTGCTACTCTTAGTGACACCACTACCACAGACAGGGGGTCCTCAAGTTGAAATTAACTCAATGAAAATTTCAGGCGCATATAACATGTATTGTAAATAATAATATATAACTCACTAAATATAAGTGGCTGAGTGGTTAGTGCCAGACTAGTAATCAAAGGAATGCTTAGCTGTGTTGGTTCAAACCTCATCCGGGGTAAGCTTTTGTTTCTGTGAGCAAGAAAGTTTACACTCATTACTTAGTACTCGGGTACTGGTTGGTTCCAGGAATGTTTCAATAAACTTAACAGCTTATAACATAACATAAGTGAACTAAAATGAATTTGAACATATTAAACTAAAACACAATCATGTACTAAAATCAGTTTATATGCAGTCATATTGTAAATGGAGGAAATCATATCAGAGATTTTCATGAAAGATGATAATCTAAATCAAGTCTGATTCACATTAGAAAGGGAGTCAGTAAACCTTTTATAAAGGGAGATAATAAACACATTTAAAGTATGATAATAAATGCGTTGAGGTGACAGCACAAAAAACCCACATAAAACTAGTTATTCAAGAGTTGTTGCCTTATAAGGGTTCAAACCCATCAGGCTGAGGGCAAGCCCTTGTTTCTTTAAGCAAAAAATCTTTACAATTATTACTTAGTTCTGATTCCAGGAACAGACTCGGAAGTATGTCTATAAGCTTATAGCTTCCTACACAATGTTACTGAAATAAAGTCTGTGGTGTTGGTAGTTTTTCACTCCGGATCACCACAGTAAGCCCATTGAATATTTACCATTCACCGCCTTGTCTCTTGGCAGGGATCTTGATTCTGATATGATATATCTGAAATAAGAACAAATACCTGAACTCCACTATTTGAAATTTTATTTGTTTTATAAGAATCATATACATATAAAAGGAGTTATAATATATATTACGCACACAAATGATATAAAATATATTATGTTCTTTGAAACATTGTAAATAAATTGAAGGCAAATGATAATTTTAGTAGAAGAAATTATAATATTCTTATTATTAAAATGCAAATTTTATTTCAAGTTTTTAACAATTTTGTGAAGAAAATGATTTACTAGCAGAATAATAATATTTTTATTTCACAAATCTGTATACAAATATGAATAATGAATAAAACATGAATAATTTTAATGGAAAACCATGTACAGATTTCTTAAAAATAAATTTTTTAAGTATAATTCTTGCTTACCTGAGCTGTAATTTTACAATTCATAGAATTGTTGTCGGCTGTTGTGCCTAATTTGAGAGGCTGGATGTAATGCTTGACCAATGGTCAGAATCATTACATGCTTTGAGAACTAGGTAATGTATGTATATTAGTGGAGAGGCAATTTGTAGATAATTTATACCTGGAGAAAATCATGATTGAACAGAATATGTGATAGTTAGAGTACAGAGTATAATGTTTGGTAGGCCGCCAATGTATTAGTATAGAAACATTTATAATATTTAAGAAAGAAAAATCTATCTAGAAACAGTCCTGATACATAAGGACGGATGTATCGTTGTTTCCATTTAGATGTTTTTGAATGTAGAAGTGATTCAGGAATACAGTGATGTTCCTTGAAGTGGTGTTAAAGATTAGATTTTAAGGTATGTCTCTTCTATTTCTCCTAAGTTTTGCATCAATGTTGTACAATCATGAGAATTATTCACTCTAGCTCTCAGCTTGAGAATTTAACTCACTCTCTCAGGGTAGTATTCTATGCATTACCTCCCAAAAATCAGACCTGAGGGAATCGAAGATATGTTCTACTAGAATGCAACAGTAAAAAAAATAATATGTCAGAACGGGGACAGGGACAAAAAAATGTAAAGTAATAAAACAGTTATCAGGATACCATAAAAGTTATTGTTTGTCAATAAAATTTAGTTTCAGTCATATATTTATGGTAGCTCTTATCCTGTAAGATTTGTGCTGCTTTGAATTTATTTTTAAAAGATATTTCTGTATATTAAAAATACAAAAATGGAGATGTAACCAACAGTTACATAAAGTCTGGTCAGACTGTATTTATCTTGGTTCAATCAGGTGTTACTGTAATGCAGGTATATATAATTATGTTAATATAATTATGTACCTGATTATTGTTAGTTATAAATATAATTATTATATGACTTTGAATTATTATAGGATTTATTAAGAAAGCGGTAAGTTGATTATGATTTTTTTTTTTTTTTTTTAAAAAGAAGATTTTTTTAGCTTAAGTTCTTAATGATGATGTTTACAAGACAGAGATAGTATTACCGTTATAACATGTACTAAATTTTCACCTGCCTTTGATGGAGATAATACATTTATAGAGATTTTTATCTTAAGGGTTTTTGACCGAGTCAGACAAAACAAAAACAAAAGAATAATTTTCTACAAATATAGATAATTTTAGAAGTCGTGATTAATTATATTTTTCAGGAGACTAACTGGTGTCAAGTTCTTGTTTGTTTCACAGCAGCAGTGTTATTTTAATTATTGAAGGCCGTACTGTGACTGTTTAACTATGTGCCTTGTTCTGTATGGTTGATATTAAAGTTAACGTGTTAGTAAATTATTGGAAAACCGAAAATAACAATAACCAACTTGTCTGTCATCAGATTGGAAAGTTAATATTGTTATTATCATTTCTTATACAGGTTAATATACGGTTAGCTTTAAGTTCAATATTTTCAGGAATATTAAAGACAATATGACTAAGTGATAAGAAAGTTGCATGGTGTACGGAAGAATAGAGAATACTTAAGTTTTAATGAGTTTTTTACTGTTCATCAAAGGATGCTCCTTTACTTAAGTTATACTTATAGGAAATATAAATTTATTCCTCATTGTCTCTTTCCATGAAAACAGTTGAGTCGATACGGAAATAATATACTGAAATAATTGTTTAATTTTTAATATTGAAAATTCAGTGAGGATGCCAGTGTGATTTTGCATAGGAACTTTATTTGGCAAAGGGAGCTTACTGAATATACAGGTGATTTTTTACATGCATGGCATAAATTATATCTAAAACATTTTTGTGTAATTTATTGTATTTTAATATTCAAACTTTAGACAATAAGAATGTCAGTGTAATTTTGCTTAGGAACATTATATGACGAATATACATGTGATTTTTACATTGCATATTCTAAAACTTTTTTTTGTGTGATTTAAATATTGTAAATTTCAAACATTTTCATTTGATTTACAAATTGCTGTTTTGTTGTGAAGAAAATGAATATTTCAAGATTTTTTAAATCTCTGTACCATTATGATACATTGTAAGTTTAAAAAGCATAATTTTCTTGGAAACAATTTTTTCCTCTTAACTCTGGATTAGAAAAAAATGTGGTTAACCGTTTTAAGAATGATTGGTCTACAGGAAACAGAGAGAGGGGCAAATTACTTCCTTTTTATTGAAGTCTTGGAAGTTAAGAGCAAGGTGTCACAGTGATGTATGTGCCATCAAGTTTGTTTTTTTTTTAAAAAAGAGAAAAACGGAAACAGTGTCTTAAGGTGTCTCCTGCATGCAAAACTTTATCATTTCCATACTTTGAATATTTAAGTTTAAAAAAAAAATGTTTTCGCGGGAAATATCACTTAACTTACTTAGATATACATGTATAGGTCTTTGTAGAACTCAAATTTTTAGTTTTGATTGACTCACATTTAGTTCCCATGGAAACACATTTTAGTTGTACAAGAGTAGCAATTAGAGTAACAACTGTACCTGGACTTTTGATACTCACTTTAACTACTCTAGACTATAGTAGAGAAACAATATCCTATACTCCATTGACCAGTTGTGATAACAAGACTAAGCATGCAGTAAATCCATTTGTAACCTTTCACACCACAGGTTGTGCACTAATTGTCTGGGTATTTATTATTTGTATTTACATTATTCCAAGGATCAATTTGGATTAGGCCTCTGACGGTTTTATTACATAATTGTAAGGTGCTTGTTACACTTGTAAAGTCAGTAGATTAACACCTGTATTTACTATCTATTTATAAATATCTTAAGATCTTTCTGCATTCATGCTCACCTATGTGGTCTCTTTCCGGTGGCGGTGGCGAGGGAACAGACAAACCCAAACACTCACAATTTCTTCATAACTGCATGATGTGGATGGCCTTATGGAAAATACTATACATTTTGATATAAAAAAAATCGTCAAATTTACTGAAAAAGCAGGTATATTTTTCATGTTTTATTCAAAATACATTACGAATAATTGATCTATTATGAATAATAGATCTATAACTACTGAAGGGAATGGATTGAAATTCACACACTTGTTTTCTGTGATTATCTAACATGATTGGCACAAGTCCTATTACTCTGATTTGCTTTTTTGCATAATTATGCCCCTTTTTCGACTTAGAAATTCTTGATTAAGGTTTTGTGTGTAAGCTGGTATCTCCATAACTACAGAAGGGATTGGAAAGAAACTTCACACAGTTGTTCTCTGTGATTATCTAACACGATTGCCACAAGTCCCATAACTCTGATTGCTTTTTTGCATAATTATGCCCCTTTTTCGACTTTGAAATTCTTGATTAAGGCTTTGTGTGTAAGCTGGTATCTCCATAATCTAACAAGCCTTTGTAACCTTTTCCGGACAATTTTATGTTTTCATACAGGTTGCAAGCATTATTATACTCAATGAAACACCCTTGTGACAACGTTTTCGAATTGTCGACCAACTTCTTGTTCACAATATGCTCATGCTCTAAAAGGTTATTCACTCAAGTACATGAGACTAAGCATGTAGTAAATGCTAGCATACCACAGATTGTTCACTAATCATGGGGTATTTATTATTTGTAGTCTCATTATTCTAATTGATCAAAAGATTAGGCCACTGACATATTTATTATATAATTGTAAAGTGTTTGTTACACTGGTATAGTCGGTATTTTAACACCTCTATTTACTCAGTAAATGGTTAATCCATTTATCTTAAGATCTCTCTGCATTTGTGAAGGACTTCTGATGACCTGATGTTTGATATGAAATTTCAGGAAAGTTTATAGAAAAAGAAGGTATAGTTTTCATATTTAACTTTTTTTATTGGTAAATTAGACTTGAAATAAATGAATGCATTGAGATTTGTCATAAGAAATCTGAAAATGTACTAATTGTTTTTTTAGGGTGATCTATGACATAAATGTATAATAAAGTTATATGAATTTGTAAATGAAATGATTTTTAAACTACCATACAAAAGAGAGATACCATACAGGAGAGAAGATAATGTGTGACAAATAAGATAAATCTTTTTATTATTGTCTGATACAGTACTATTGTTATTAGCCAATGGTTATTTTCTGATCTTGTAGCAAATGATATCATATAAATAGACAAATTGTAGATTTAACCTGTAACTACTTGTTTGTTCACAAAATTTATATTCAGAAACTGTGAGTAGAAAAGTTAGTTTGTTACCAAATCATATGTATTTTCATTGTGTAGAAAATTATTAAATAATTTATCAGATTTATCAGCTTCAATTGTCAAAAAAATACCTTTTTTGAAAATGATTTATTATAAAGTTGAACTGCTGAACAATCATCAGAACAGATTTCATTACAGTGAAACCTCTGCTAGCAAGAACCTGGGGGGTTGGGGCAACAACCTGAGGGGTGGGCAACAACCTTGGGGAGGGGCAACAATCTTTTGCAGGGAATTATTTTTATTGTTGCCGAGAGATGTTGATCTAGACAGGTTAAAGATAAACTATTTTCAAAATATCAAATTTGAGCATAGTATTATCTTCAAATTCCTTACTTAATTGTAATTTTTGATTCAGTTGTTTTAAAGATGTTATTGGTCTACAGAGGGCCTCTCTGCAAAGGTTACACTGTATATATGACCAAATGGACAATTAAATGCAAGTTCATGCACTGTTTCTTGTCATGTGGCAAGATATATCATTCTCTTTCTTTTTAAATGACCATGACCTGGGTCAGTTAGTAACGCTGACAACTGACTGTTTTATTGCTCTCCCTGCACAGTGTATGTTTTATGTTGAATTAACTGTTCATCCTTGAAATTTAAGCTGATTTTCTGTATTGATAAAATGATTTCCTGATGTTATTTTGATATTGTAACACATTATAAATTCTTGTGCAATTATCCATGGACATAAATTATTTAGTTTTACTGGTAAATTTTCAAGGAATATTTAATAATTTCAGACTAGACAAGACAAGATAGTGACTTGGGTAACTAATAAAATGTCTTATTATTGTTGTTCTAGGTGCACTATTATATATGTAAAAAGTGTTTATTTATTTACTTGTTTCCAGAGCAATATTTTGGATTTTATGCATATAGATTTGGATAACATTGATGTATGACCGTTAGATACTGATATGTGAAAGGCAGGTGCATATTTATACATGGAGAATGGTCAGCCTCACAGGGAATTGACACAGTGTTAAGATAGTGTAAACAAAATATATATATATGAACAAGATATATTAAACAGTGTTATATAATTATACAGTATATATTTTTTCTAACACTATCCCGACACTGTGTAGAGTCCCTGCAGTGGCAGCCCTACTCAGTTCTTCTGTGCAGTTTGCAGACCCCTGGCCAGACTGGTTGCTAATGAATTTTAACATTTTAATATGAAAAAGCCTGATATTAAAATCAAAGTCTGAAGCAGGAACAGTTCATTTTACATATTTAGGTAAGAATAAAATGAATATAATGTTTTTTGCTTAACTTTAGCATTGAAGCTAGACGAGCCTATTTTACAAATTTTAACATTCTGTTGTCATTTGATTTTTCCACTGTGTAGATTGGTTTGAACTGTTATAACTTTGATATTTTTTTAGCCTTTATAAAATGATCATGTGACCTTTTCCAAACATCAATTATAGATAAAAGATCAATTGGAGATAATAAATGCATGCACTAGATGGTTTAGATATTGCAACATATATCAATACACTCAATGATTTAGATATTTTACAGATGATTTTGAACAATTCTATTGTAACTTGGGTATTTTCTGACCTTTACAAAATGATCATGTGACCTTTCACAAATATCAATTATTGGTAAAAGATCTTTTGGAGATAATAAAAACATGTACTAGATGGTTATAAGACATTACAATGTCTATAAATCAGGTCTTCCGTTTGTGGAAGTTTAGGAGTTATTTTAATCTTTGATTTTGGCTTTTGACTTCCAAAATGTAATGTTTTTCCTTCTTTAGATTTTGCAGTCTCTGGAACTTAATGGAATCCCTGATAAAATGTTTTTTGGATATTTTACAGATGTTATCATGTCTATAAATAGTGAAGTGAAAAATATGACAGTGAAGTAGGGTAGAATTACATATGACATAATTTAATTCTTCCTTCTTATTAGAAGGAAGAGCTATGTTTGTTAAAACTCACTGAGACATGACCATATTAAACTTTACCTAGAAACCCAAAGCATTCAGAATTTAGATGGGTGCAGACATCTTTATATTTACTAGGAAGTTTTACTTTGAATTAGAGGCCAACCACAGAAAACGGTATATTTTTGATCATTTAACAATAACTAAATGGCAAATATATTATTCCTCATCATACATTTTATTTCAACTAAAATATAAATGTCATTCTTGTGTGTTTTAATTATAATATTTCTTTATTTTGTAATTTTATAGTGTTCCCCAATTGGACTTCTCTAGATGTTTTATTGCATCATTAAAGTATGTCCTAAATGTCTACATTAACTAAGGAAAGAAGTGTAAGGGGAAGGAACTCCAAATTACATTATAATAGTATATCAAATTGTCCAGTCATTTACAGCCATTTTCAAAGTAAAAGCGAACAATATGCTGTTGTTAGTAAAGTTAAATCTGCTTCCAGCTCCTATACTTGTACTCCTGTTTATAGAAGGAATTTTGGTAGGCTAATATATAGAGTGTAAAAGATATGGCCAAAAGAAAAAAAAGAAAAAGAAAGAAAATAGAGGAAAGCAATATTGTGATGATACCATGTTCTTCGTGCATTGCTCACCTGAGTACAAAGTCTTTTTGTGATGGCAGTGTGTCTGTAGTTCATTGTCTTTATTAACATTTTTTTTTACCCTTTTGATGTCAAGAGCATTTATACCCCAGTGCTACCTAATTTGCCTACAAGACGCATATATACCTGCCTTAGGGTATTATTTATTATCTTATTATTGATGTATCGTAATCATAATGTCATAATTTTGGTTTGTTTTTGTCAACAAATCATTTTAATTAATTATCATTCATTATCTTCCATTGAAGTAATTTGGTTTTATAATTACAATAATATTAGTACAAACATTTTTGTTTTTATATATTTATTAAACATACTGAAATATTCCAGACAAATACTACTGTCACTTTTTATGTACTTTGTTTTATCTCTTTTTAAAGTCCCCCCCCCCCCAGTGGGGGTTGAACTCACACCCTTTTGAAAATCTGTGTGCACTCTGAAAATAAATACTACCGGGTCCCTGAAAGAGCAGATGGACCCTGACATTAACCTTAGAATACATACATACATACATACATACATAAGATAAATTCTCTCCAGAAAAGAGGTCCTCCATTATAGATCTAATCTAATACCTTAGGTCTGCTTTAGTCTGAAAAATGCTGTATTTTGGCAACAAAAAAAAACAACAACAAAAAAAACAAACATCAACATACAATAAAACAAGAAGAAAGTAATAGACTTTAAAATTTCAACAAATTCTTTAACTGGCCAAAGTTTGACCTTGCCTACTTTAACACTTGACCAATTTGACAGTTTCTGTGGTCAGTTTTCATTAAAAACTTCATTAAAATGAAATGACTTTTGTACAAATTGGTCAATCTATTTAAAGAGATAGTATCAAAATGATTTAGTCATCTGTAGCCAAGGGTCACCGGCAGGGCCTTCGCTTTGGGGTCGTTTGGGGAATACTCTCTGGCGTAGTGAGCGCCCTACACGGAAACCCTCGGTTGGTTGGGTGTGTGTGGGATACTGGTTTATAATTATTATCCAGTATCCTCTTTGTTATGATGACTTATTTTATAACTCAAAAGTCCAGTATGATGTTATTTCATTTATTTCTTTATAGTCCATTGAAAGTTCTCAAATACAAAATAATCATATAGTCCACACATATATTTTCACAGCTAGCACCTGAATTTTGCTTAAGTTAATTTTACTTATTTATTTTCTAAGTTAAGACTTGATGTTATATGTCCGAAATTCTATATAAGACTTTTAGATGTTCTCAGTTCTGGATTCAAAATAAGACTAATTCAAAATATAAAAATCAACAATATAAATTAAGAAGGAGTTGTCATAGTGACTAAGCCTTAAGCTATATTAGCAATAAATGTGAAAAGATAATCAAGTATGGCTTGTTTGATAAAAAGACTAGGAAATTGAGAATTAAGCCATAAAGTATTAAAATCAAAAGGTGATAATATTTCCTTATTGACCACTATGACATGTTTATACTAGAGTTGTAAAATTTATCAGTTAAGAATCTAAAAGTAATTTTTATCAAAATATTTATACAACATGAAATTCTTTTAATGATTGTTAAAAATGTAAAAGTTAATTTTTGAATATAGAAATAATTTATGTTTTTCATAATTAATACCCTAAAAGCATTTTGACATGGAAATGCTATGTTACACATCACCTGTCCTTATAAAATGATTGTCCTCAATCATAGTCATATTACATAATGAATACAATAAAAAGAAACATACAAAATCATACAAACAAATTGGATCGATCCTCAATTATACACACAAACATACAAAATTGATCATACTAGTATTCAAAATGTTTTGTTTTTTTCGGAAATACATTTTTTAAATCTTCTATTTGAATAGCACTTTGTCAGTTACAATATGTATCTTCCTGTTATTTTTTTTATATATTTTATATTTATTTACATCTAAGTTACACATAATATTTTTCATAATTATACTACGATATTTCATCAATGTGCACATTTATATACAAAAATCATTGCGAATTTGAAGAAATAGCAATTAACATGGTATTCCTTTATTGATAATTAAAACATAAGTCTTTATGTTAAAATTAAATTATCTCAAAAAGAAAATCTTACATTAGACACGAAAAATATGTCTTTGACAATGTAATAAAAATTTCCTATGCTAAATTTGCGACAACAATAGAATTATTGAAGTCTTCAAAACACAAAAATACATAATTGTTTGGCATTATCTTAAGGTATTAGGACCCTAATGGGCACTATCAGGAACTAAAAAATTGACATCATAAGTCAGATGTATACCTTAAAGTACACCTGTATGCAAAATTTAAACAAAGTTTACCGTACGGAAATCAAGTTATGGCCACTTTTCTGAACTCAAGCTAGGATGTTATTAGGGCCCTTTTTTAGAAAGTAGGAACCTTTAAATAATCTGCAATAACATTCTAATGAAAAATGTTTTCCCATTAATTTTTGGTAAGAAACAAATAGTACCATTCAGCTAACAATCCAAATAAGCAAAATTATGGTTTCTACTTAAAATTTATGAAATCTGTATAAAAATGTTACCCTACCCCACCCATTTTTACCACGTGTCTGACCATTTTTCTACTTAGGGAGCCTAATTTAAAAAATTCTTAAAATTTACCCAAATGAGTGCCTGTTTTCAAAGTTTCCTTAAATTTTTAAAAAAGTATATTGGTTGATCTTGTAAAACATGAAATACTTTTACCGTCTAGTTTTGATTATATTACACTTTGAAAATATCAGGTACCATATTTATTACTAGATTTAGCATAATTTAGCCAAAAAATACCTATATAAATTAAAAAATCAAAATTAAACACTTTTTTCTTTCCAAATGGGACATGAGAGATACATAAATAATGTTAAAAGAAAAAAAGAAAGAAAAAAAAAGTTGACCCTTCTGGGGATTGAACCCATGGCCCTCATTTTCAATGTAGTTAACAGTTGTTCTAGCCTATTTGAATACTCTTCAAAGCGGAGGTAATGCATTAGGGTGCTAATACCTTAATATATCATATGCGACTGTAATTGATAAGCCATGCCTATTTCGGCATAAAATACAACAATAATTCCTTTATGGTACCTTTGTACTCATATATAAGTATTTGACTTGTTGTTATGTTGAGATTTTAGTATGACCCTATATGGTTACGCAACATTGCTAATCTCACATATTAGTATTTATTCTAAGGAGTTTTCTCAACTCTGTATCATATATTTTTTATGCAACATGCATTAGTGGACTTTGACTCAATATGAACATACGCAATAAAAATTGTCAGCCACTTTAGTATTAACAAATTTCTTTTTCAATCAATTATCATATGTAATATATTTGTATATGTATGTAACATTTATTATGGTAGAGGTTTAGTATTGTCTATGCAACTTTGTTTTAACTCTCCATATAGTATGATAAAAAATTTTTGTACAACACAATTTGTTTAGCTTTGCTATAACAATAATTTGTATGTCTCTGGATTGATTATTTAGTATTATATTCATATTTGACGTCTTGTATAATCATCCTTTCCTGCAATAAACGCTTCTTTTTTTTTTTTATTTGTTTGACACATAATCTTTTTTTGTAGTCCAATGTCATTACTTTTTAACACAATTTTTTTTTTAATTCAACACATTTAAATTTATTTTCAACAATGGTAATGTGAAATTCAAACATTCACTGGTACATTGTTATGGTACATTGGTCCGCTACTTTATCGAATACAATGTTTTAAACTTGAACAGCATTATTAATATCCACATAACTTGTTTTATGGTAAAATAGAAACAAAATAATTCTAGGTACAATCTTTATTTTGTCATTATAAACTTAATTTGTATAGAAAATGAAAGTTTCTTTATACTTTAAACTGAAATTAACTAGAAATATGCAAAAATCAAGCATTGATGATTTAGCATCATCTTTAAAATTCTCTGTTAGTATTTAAATTGCATTTACAAATTATACTTTTAAGGTTGTTTCCATATTGGACCTTTTGTTGACTTGAAAAGCTGACCAGTGCATTTGATTTTTGACGAAATTCTAAGCAAAAGTTGGCGTACTAACTTGACAGGTGCTTGGGAAAATGGAAGCCAAACAGGTTGTGTGGAGTCTGTATGGTAGACCTTGAAATAAGTAGTTTCAAGAGGATGTGAAAAGTCATAAGTAATCACACCTCTGATCATTTTCCCTTCAATTTTTTGACCATTGTTCAAAATACCAACATTGCTATGCCAATTGGCAAAATCAACATGTTTTAATTGGTCATATAAAATATTGAGGTAGGGTTGCAATATTCGTTTCCTTTCTGAAATTTTGAATGGTATACCACTGTGTGAGAGATCTTTACCAATCTCATTATAAATCAGACGTTGGTTTGATAGATCATAAGTTTCTGTGTAACCTATGACATAGCTATCACGGACAGTTTTATGTTTCTGATCATAAGAAAGAAGATTTATGCCAGGCAAAGTTTTGAAAAATTGATGTGTATGTTGTAATGGCTTCTTTCTCTTTTTACCAGACATAGTTCTGTTAACATGATAGTCTCTGATGAAGACTTCAGGTATTGTTGAGGCATATTCCCATGTACTAGGTTTTTGTGGGTCTTTCCATTTGATTCGATAGTAAAGAATATTTTTGCTGCGTTGGGAGGAAATAATTTTATCAATTTCATCAACAGAAAAGAGTTTTGATTTGGAGGTTGGAGTTTGATTATCAGATGGGCTTGTTTCTGTCGATGTACTTGGTGTTGGATCTGGCTGATTATTTGTCTCATCCGATGAAGTACTTTGACCTTGAACTTGTTGTTCCTGGGGTTTGTTAACAGTATCAGATCTAGGGATAGTTTTATTTGTCTTTTTATTGCTATGTTTAGCTTTGGATTTCTTATTTTTGTCAGTTTGTTTATCTTTTTCTGACATTTTCTCATTGGGAGTCTTAGTTTGAGCTGTAGGAGGGACTTCAGAATCAATCTGGGGCATTTCTTCAGCATTTAATGATTCTGTCAGATTTTCATAACCTGGTGGTGTGTTTGTTGGCCTATCTGAAGGATCAAAGTAATGTTTTAACCTGGTTGCATTGACCATGACCTTGACTTCACGATTGTCAGAACATCTTCTTAATTTGTATGTGTTATGAGGGCCATTATACGTAATATAGTATGGACCTAACCATTTCTTGTGAAGTTTGGGTGCCATACCAACTGGTACTTTGGTACAATATAACCATACTCTATCAGCTGGTTTAAAGTCAGCAGGTTGACTGCGCTTATCATATTGTGTTTTGTATTTCTCTTGGGCAAGTTTGATATTTTCAGCTGCTATTTTTCTGGAAATTTCTAAATGCTGTAAAACTTGTGCAAGATGAGTTCTAAATTCAGTTGACAAGGTAGTTTTCGGAGTGAGGGCAGTATCGATAGGGAGTCTCATCTCACGGCCATAAAGTAAAAAGAAAGGAGAGTATTGAGTTGACTGAGTTGCTGGGGTACTTCGATATGCCATCATAATCGAAGGAAGCAAGTTTGGCCAATCATCTTGTTTTCCTTTACAATATGTTCTGAGAGCTTGAAGAATAACAGAATTCATGCGCTCTACAGATCCGTTTAGAAGGGGTCTGTAACTACTGGTATAATATCTTGTGATTTGGAATAATTCACAAAGAGCTTTGACCAATTTGGAGAGGAAGTTTTGACCTCTGTCAGATACAAGCACATTGGGAGCACCGTATCGACATATGCATTCTCGAAAAAGGACAGAAGCGACTTCAGTTGCTTCTTGAGTATACAAAGGGAATGCTTCAGACCATTTTGAGAAACTGTCAACTACAAGAAGTACATATTTATATTTTTCATTGCTAGTTGGCAGTCCACCAAGAATATCAATATGCCATCTTTGGAAAAGATCGGCAACAGGCATGGGTTGTAATGGGGGTGGTTTACCATGTATGTCACGTTTGACTTGTTGGCATGCTTCACATGACTGAATGTATTTTCTACAGTCTTCAAACATTGAGGGCCAATAGTATTTTTGTCGCAAGTTTGCGTAAGTTCGCTCAAATCCTTGATGCATACCGCCTGCAAGACTGTCATGAAATGATTTGAGAATTTCATCTCTCATCATAGCTGGAATGCAAACTTGTAAAATGAGTTTGTCCTCCTTAGGGACACCTCTGGTCCTAGGGGTATATAAATGTACAAGGAGACCTGATGAAAGAATTTCATATTGGTCAGATTGGGCAACTAATAATTTGGCTTGTTCTTTGTCATCTGGAAGTATCTTATTTTGTTTAAAATTGATTATATTCTTGTAAAATGTACATTCATGTTGAAATTTAACTAGATCTTCCCGTTTTTCATTTGTGTCAAAGTAATTAAGTGGGTTTACGTTTCGAGTCTTATCTTGTTCGGGTTCAGGTGCTGCTTCAGTGCTTGTAGTGGCTGGTGCTACTGATGGAGTCTGAGTCTGTTCATGACCATAGATGAGCGTTACAGAAGTCAATTCATTGCACTGATCTGTGGCAACTTGACTTACTGTTGCATCTTTGGTTTTAGACTCTTGACTAGAACTCTGCTCGTCTGCTTCTATGTCATAGATGCGACGTGAGAGTCCATCAGCATTACCATTAGCAGATGATGCCTTGTGTTGTATCTGGAAGTTGTAGCCTTGTAGTGACAAAGCCCATCTTCCGAGACGTCCTTGGCAATTCTTAATCTGCTTCAACCACTTTACAGATATGTTATCTGTATACACTGTAAAAGAATTGTTGGCTAAGTAGGGTCTGAAAGCTGCAACGGCTTCTACTAAAGCCAACCCTTCTTTGTCTGTGATATGCCATCTCGTTTCATGGCCATGCAATGCTCTACCACCATAAGCTATGGGGTGTTCCTTATTGTCATCTCCTAATTGTGATAGAACATATCCTATAGAATAATCAGAACTATCTGTGGCTAAAATGAAAGGTCTATCAAATTTGGGAAATGCTAGAATAGGAGATGATGTAAGAGCTTGTTTTAATGTGTTGAAAGCATCTTCGCATTCTTGAGTCCATTTAAATTTAATATCTTTCTTTAGAAGAGCTGTGAGTGGACTTGCTATTTTGGCATATGACTTTATGAATTTTCTATAATAAGAGGCCATACCTAAGAATGATTTTACATGTTTTACGTTTTTGGGCTGAGGATAGTCATCAATGGCTTGTGTTTTCTTGGGATTTACCTTAATTCCTTCTTTTGATATGACATGACCTAAATATTCAACTTCTTTTGTGGCAAATTTACATTTTGTGGGTTCTAATGTTAGATTGGCATTTGAGAGATTTGTGAATACTTGTGACAAGTGATTTAGATGTTGATTAAAGTTGCGACTGTACACCAAAATGTCATCAATGTATACTAGAGCTACTTTCCAATTTAGATTTTTGAGCACTTTTGTCATAAGATTTTGAAATGTTAGTGGTGAATTCATGAGACCAAAAGGTAACCGTGTGAACTGATATACAGATTGATGAGTGACAAAGGCTGATTTATGGGCTGTGTCTTTAGAAAGGGGGACTTGAAAGAAAGCACTTTTGAGATCAAGAACTGAGAATAGCTCAGCTTTGGCATCTGCTATGGCATCAAAAACATCAGAAATGTGGGGAAGAGGAAAAGACATTGGTTCTGTGACCTTATTCAGCTCTCGATAGTCCACAGCAAATCTCCATTCACCATTTTTCTTTTTGATGAGGACAACTGGGCTATTCCATGGAGAGTCAGATTCTTCAATTATGCCATTTTGTAGCATTGTTTCTACTTGGCGTTCAGTTTCCCTACGCATTTCTGGGCTTTGGCGATAAGGTGGTTTCTTAATAGGTTTGTGGTTACCGGTTTCTATTCTATGTGAGTGAAGATGCGTAACCCCTAATTCAGACAAATCTTTTGAGAATGTTTTCCTATTTTTGCCTATAAAGAGGAGAAGTTTAGTTTTTTGTTCATCTGTAAGATCTGAATTATTAAGATCTATACCAAGTTCTTTTGCAAATTCAATATACTTGGCATCAGACAAGGATTCAGTATTTAAGGAGTTGACAGAATGTGAAGAATCAGTTGATTCAGAAGGATAGTTGTCTGTAACCTGGTGAAGAGTTGATAGATTAACTTCAGTTGCTACTGAAACTTGGGCCTTTGGCTTAAGAAATACAGGTAGACTTGTAGGATTCATTACACGGTATAAAATTTTACCATCTTTAACAGTTGAGAGGCATTTTCCTCCAACAAGTTCATCTTTCAACAAAGTTTGAGGGGGTTCACATAAGACAATATCTCCATCTTTGAACTTTTGTATTTGTAATGGTAAAATATATTCTGAATGAGGTGGAATGATATGAGAAGACAAAGTTTTACCAAAAGCTGTTTTTGAAAGGTGGTCGGTAACCATGGCAATAATGATAGAAGGGTCTTGTTGTAATGTTATACAATTTGACTGAAAATCAAGTTTGATTCCTTCTTTTTGCATAAAATCTCTCCCAATAATAACAGGATAATGTAGTTTAGAAAATACATAGAAAGTATGTTCAAAAGGGAGACCATCCATTGTAAAAGTAAGGGAGATAGTT